CTACAGACACAATATCATAAACTGAGTGCTTATAAACAATCAGCATGTATTTTTCACAGTTCGGGGAGCTGGGAAGTCCACAATCAAGATACTCGGCAGATTTCAGTGTCTGATCAGGGCTAGTTGCTGTTTCACAGGCAGCTGTCCTTTCACTGTGTCCTCATATGGTGGAAGAGGCAGAAGAGGAAGGGATCTCCCGAGTCTTCTTTCTTTCTCCTTCTTTCCTTCTTCCTTCTTTCGTCTCTTCTTCCTTCTTGCTTCTCATTCCTTCCTTCTTTGTCTTCTTCCCTCCTTCCTGTTCCGTTCCTTCCTTCTTCCTTCCTTCTCCTTCCGCTTCCCTTCCGTTCGCCTTCGCTTCCTTCCTCGCTCGCCCGCGCGCGCGCGCCGCGCGCGCCCCGCGCGGTGCGCCGGGTGCGCCCGCCTTCGTCCGTCCCTCTCCTGCGGCGTTTCGTCGCTTCGCTGGCGAGTTCTGCTGCTGTTCGTTCTTTTGTTTCGTCTAGGGGTCACGCGCGCGCGCCGGCCGCAAAGATGTTGTGGTGGTTCCAGCCCGGCCGCGGCGGGGGCCGGGACGGATTGAGCTGGCTGGCCATGATCTCAGGCTCACTGCCCAACCTCTGGCCTCCGGGTGTTTAAGCCGATTCTCCTGCTTCCAAGCCCGTCCGCAAAGCAGCTTGGGACCTACAAGCCACGCCATCACAGCCTAGCTTAGATTTGCGTCCATTTTTAGTGTAGGGATGGGTTTTGCCATGTTGGCCAGGGCTGATAGTCAGCAATCCTGGCGCTCAAGATGTCCCACCCGCCATCAGGCTCCCGCAAAGTGCTGGATATAGAGGTTTGAGCTACTGCCCGCAGCGCTGAGTTCTCTGGTTCATAAGGGCCGCTCCAGCCTCTATGACCAAGGATCACTGGCCAGCGGGCGCGAGCCCTTTGCTGAAGGTAAGCATCGACATTTGGGCAAGTAGATTTGAACAGATATGGAATTTGTTGCGCAGAAACCGAATATTCAGTCTACATCACAGAAGGGATTCGCTTGACTTAGGACAAGTACGTTACGGTTTTTTTTTTTGGGAAAAGGCAAGACAGTTTTATTTTTCTGTCGGAGCTATTAACGCAGCCTTGCATGGAATGTCATCCTCGTTGGTATACTGCCCTCGACGATAACAGAAGCTAATCGATTTTAGTTTTAAGGACAGGGTCCTGCTGCTGGTTGCCCAGGGCTGGAGTGAAAAGCTGAGCTAATTTCTCTTGCACAGAGTAAAACTAGGGGAATGGTAACTGAAGACAGCATGAACTAAGACAGTACTTAATTATGCTTTTTGATATTCTGGAAACAACTAACATTTTAAGACAGTGATTCTCTTTCAGGGTATCTGTAACATCCAAGTGATACAAATATAATAATACTGAAGGAAACCAGAATATGCCACCCCAAAATTTGCTGCTTTGACATAAAAATTATTTTCAGGCTGACGGCAATTACGAAGCAGCAAACAGAAGAAAAGCTATCTCTATCCAACCCCTTTTCTCCCTTAATTTTTCTTTACTGGAGACAATCCTAGACTCTTATAAGCCCAGACATGGCACCAGAGGAATCTGCAAACAAACCTTACTGCTCTAGTTTCCTCCCATATATTTTACCTTCCCACAGTTTCTAAGTCACTGCTTTGAATTACTTTTCATTGAGATTTCTCTGCATGATGTGTGCAATATTCATCAATAACTTAATTTTTCTCTTGTTAATCTATCTTTCATTATAGAAGTCCCAGCTAAGAACTAGGAGGAGTTTAGGAAAAAATTAATTATTTTTCCTCCTGAAAATACCAAGATAGAATGTTAATATGCAACATGTTCATCATTGCTATTTTCAAATCAATCAATGTTTAAAATTTTCTTTTTTTCAATTACCAAAACATTAAGTGTTGATAGTTATAACCCACATAGACAAAAGTTATTTGAGATATTCAGTAAGTCCTACAAGTACAAAGTGGTACAGAAACCAACAAGCCCAAGTATATTGATATCGTTATATTATATTAGTATTATACTATAGTATTATATTAGTAGACTTTGAAATGGGTATAAAAGGGTACCAGGTGCCGTGTCATGCACATCTTTCTGGGTTATCTCTACCTATCATTATCTGTGAGATATTTTATGACTCTGTAAATTGTAGAGAACTAAGAATAATACACATGCTTTCTGACCATAGAAATGCAGATGAATTGTGTGTTGGCAGAAAGCAACTGATTATTGCCCTGTGGATATTGACAACTTTCACCAGTTTCGCAGCTATTTTTAAATGTATTTCAGCATTCCTGATTGCCTATGTATCACTAGCATTTTAGATTTTCCTTTGAACCACATGTCTCTTGATAAACTAGGAATTCTTCATTGTTAAGAGTTATGTATTCTTTATTCCCTTATCATCTAATTGATGCTATAATTATTGGGGGCTTGCAGTTAAATAAGGTCAATCTAACTGGTATTTGATATGAGAATGTTAATACTTGCCTTCTTTTTTTATAGGGTTTCTTTTATTTTAGTAATTTACTTTCCTGCAGTATTTGTCTTTAATTCTGTATAAATTTCTTACAGATTATACAATTAATTAACTGAAGTGAAACAACAAAAGGAAGAAAAAGCAAAGCAAGAAGCCTGTACCCAAAATAGAGCAAGGGAAAAAAATGTATAAGGGGAGCAGGCAGATGGGGAGAGGGCCTTCAGTGTTTCAAGCCTAAAGCATACCACAAATGAAACTGTTAAATTTAATTTTTATTCCCTCTACAGAAAACACTAGCGAAACTTTGAGCCAAAAATACATGCTGACTTTATACAGTGTAAAGAGTTTTAAAAATTATGTGTAATACTAGACAAAATTATTTAAAGTCAATAAATTTTTCTTCAAGGAATTTCACATCTTGTGATTCCTTCACTGCTCATCAAGGTTATCTTAGTTTCTCTAAAGATTGAGTCAAGATTTATCTTCAAGATAGCACTTTTCAAAAGAATTGATGCATAATCCACAGTTGTCCTGTCTGCCCACAGTTCTTTTATTTTGGTTCATTTTATCTCCACTTGAATATGGACATACTGACGCCACTTTCAAAAATTCTCTACATTTTTTTAAAGTAAACGGCTCTCAATTTCTGACATCCTCTCTAAACCCAAATAAGTTCAAATCATATTTGTTCCTAAGTTATCACACTGAAGAACAGCATGGGATATACCATGACCTTCAAATCCAGAGGTTATGTCCTCAAGATAAAATCCTTAACCAAAAAAAAAAAAGTCCATCTCGATGTATTATGTCAACATGAAACTGGAATAGTAAATCAACATAGCAGAAAATTTCCCCATGTCCTATGCTTTTTATTTTTTATTTTTGTTACTTGTTTTTTGAGACAGAGTCTCACTGTGCCACCCAGGCTGGAGTACAGTGGCATGATCATGGCTCACTGCAGCCTCAACCTCCTGGGCTCAGGCGATCCTTCCACCTCAGCCTACTGAGTAGCTGGGACTACAGGCACATGCCTCCATGCCTGGCTAATATTTGTATTTTTTATAGAGGCGGTTTCATCATGTTGCCCAGGCTGGTTTTATGCTTTTAAATGATCAATTCTACAGGCTTGGAGCCAACCTTTATGGTTATCAATACCCCCATCACTTTAACCTGTCTTAGGTATCAGACTATTCCTTTTTTGGTTTTTCCTTGGTCTGTTGCCCAGGTTGGAGAGCAGTGGTGTGATAACAGCTCACTGCAGCCTTGACCTCCTAGGCTCAGTTGATCCTCCCACCTCAGCCTTCTGAGTAGCTGGTATCACAGGTGTGAGCCACCATGACTGGCTAATTTTTGCTTTTCTTGTGGAGACGAGGGTCTCACTATGTTACTCAGGCTGGTCTTGAACTCTTGGTCTCAAGCATTCCCCCCACTTGGCCTCCCGAAGTGCTGGGATTACAGGTGCGAGCCACCATACCCAGCCCAGTACTCCTTCTTATATGTATCAAAAATCATACTAAACAATTAGTTCCAGGTTGCAAATGAGGATTTGTTTTCTGCATCTGTTCATATATATTTGTTAATATTTGTCCTCTTTTGGGAGTTTTAATTCCTTTATTCATCAAATGGGTGCAACCCATAACAGACCTCCTGTATTAGTTATTTCCTTCCCAAACATTTCTTTCTTTTTTCCTTTTCTTGTGTTATTCATCAATTCCACCCCCAAGATTCAATGAATTGAGTTAGGCAGGCAGTGTATTTGTGTGTGCACAGAAAGAGATTGTGACAAAGGTCATATATGATACTCCTTTTTTTTTTTTTTTTTTTTTTCTGAGACAGAGTCTCACTTTATTGCCCAGGCTGGAGTGCAGTGGCGCGATCTTGGCTCACTGGAACCTCGGCCTCCCAGGTTCTGGAGTAACTGGGATTACAGGCATGCGCCGGCATGCGCCACCATGCCCGGCTAATTTTTGTATTTTTAGTAGAGATGGGGTTTTACCATGTTGGCCAGGCTGGTCTCAAACTCCTGACCTCAGGTAATCTACCCTTCTTGGCCTCCCAAAGTGCCGGGATTACAGGCGTGAGCCACCACGCTTGGCCATGATATTACTATTAAGCATACAAAACGGTATGGAGTATACTCTTCTAGTGGATAAAAGGTATACAGACATAGAATGCAGAACTTCTGCCCCCAGAGTTATTATTACCTGGAAGAGGAAAAATGACATTTACAGAAATAATGCATTGCAAGGAGGAAATTCTAGAAAAGTGATACTGATAGAATGATACAGGCCTTCTGAAGAGGAAGAGAATCCTTCCTGCTTGGGAGGTAAGAATACATTCAGGGTGAACTATTTCATTACGAAGTTCTCATCTTCAGACTCTAATTAAGTTTTTTTAAAAACAAACAAACAAAGCACAACTAGCCCAGGCACGGTGGCTCCCACCTGTAATCTCAGCATTTTGGGAAGCTGAGGCAGGAGGATCCCTTGAGCCCAGGAGTTCCGGTTGCAGTGAGCCATGATTGTGTCACTGCACTCCAGCCTGGGCAACAGAGCAACAGACTCAAAAAAACCTCTCTGTCTCAGACACACACACACACACACACACACAGTAAAAAGGATGGAAGTTTTCTTCACTGGGGAGATCTTCTACCTTACCAAAGGTTTTCAGTTGGGAGAATATTTTTTCAATGAGCATAATAAAGTGGTTTTAATAAGAAATGTGCAGTAAAATATATATGTATCTCTCCACTTAAGTTTTGTCGAGTTTTAATGAAATGATTAAGAGTATCTGGTGTGGAAACAAACTCCTGAGTTTTCATTTTAATTCTACCCACTTCTGGCAACGTGACTGAGGGCAGATAACTGTTCAATATCTGCAAAATGCAGATTATTATGGTGTTGTTATTCAGTTGTGTGCACTGGATGTGATAACAGTGCATTCAAAGCAGACTTGAAGGTCGGGCATGGTGGCTCATGCCTGTCATTCCAGCACTTTGGGAGGCTGAGGTGGGCTGATTGCTTGAACTTGGGAGTTCGAGACCAGCCTGGCTACCATGGCAAAAACCCATCTCTACAAAAAAGAGAAAAAGATTAGCTGAGCACAGTGGCATACACCTGTGGTTCCAGCTATTCGGGAGGCTGAGGTGGGAGGATTGCTTGTGCTTGGGAGGATTGCTTGAGCCTGGGAGACAGAGGTTGCAGTGAGCCAAGATCACACCACTGCACTCCAGCCTGAGCAATGGAGCAAGTCTAAAAAATAACAATAATACAGTTAAATTAAAAAATAAAGAAAAACTCAAAACAGACTCAAAGAAAAATGTCATTTTAGAGTCAATAAGAGTAGTAGCAGCGGGAATACAAAGACTTGAATAAAAAGCTAGAAGGTGCCAGATTTTTTGATCTTCTAACTTATTAGAAAATATACTTGATTGGTTAAACATTGGAATAAACAATTACCTTTTTACTAACTAGATACCTGTTAACTTTCTGCTCAAAATTCATGACAAGCCAATAAAGTTCTCCACTGGAAAACAAACAAAAAGCAAACATAAAAGGGCTAACCAAACTCATTTTAAAAACATACATGCATATTTAGATGATAATGCATAAGAGCCAAACCAGTTTAATTCAAATTGCATAACAATTTCAATAAACATGATGTTTCATGTATATAAAATAAAATACATATTAATTGCCATTAGATGTCATTACTAGCTTACCCCATGATGTATTAAGTTCATATAACAAATGTAAAACTTTTAGAGAAATCCACCCTTTGACTTCCTTCTTGGTTCTGTAAACAAGACTGCTATATAAATAGTTGTTTTGAATACATATTATAAATACACAACTTTCCCTGCTGACATTTTTTTCTAGAATTTTTAGCATAGTAAGTCATTATTTTGTATCATAGCACAATAAAAGTTTCTAAATAAAACCTGAGGTTAATTTTCCCACCTTTGCTTAGAAATTACATTGTATACTTGGTTGTGCCGTTCTCCGCTGTGAAGGTGAACTATGCTGTAAAACTAACAGGGTCTAGTTTAGTGAAAACCAGACAGGCTTCCTGGCCCACCTGTGCTGACTGTATAAAAGCACATCCTAAGCTGAGAACACAGATTACTCAATGATTCATTCAGGAATAAGAACTCAGCAGCCACACTGGAGCAATATTTTGACATAGCCTAGAAAAGCACTGCCCTCTGTGGGTAGTTATAGGAGGGTTTGTTAGGATGTGTTGGAGCCAGATACTATGAACTCCCAAAGCTGATAGCCAGCTGAACTGATTGCCTAGTGTGTTTGGTTGGAAGAGACTAGCCACCTGGCCACATTTGTTGTTAGCATCTACAGTGAAATGAGTGCCACTAAGGCCTACATTCAACCCATGGTTGCAAGAGAAAAGAACCAATGCTCTTGGGTGAACCATCTTTGTGTTCTTCAGGATGCTGGTGATGGCCCTGGCTTGATTGGAAATTCATGATCCCTGGATAATTCAGAACATCTAAGCCACATAAAACTACCAACTACGTTGCTTGCAGGTATCATAAATGACAAGGCAGACCATCCTACCTATGCCTAGGTGGTCTGCAAAAAATGTAGCCTTCACAGCAGTGTTCGCAGAGCCAGCCCACATTCATAGATTCATAGAAGTCTAAGTCTGGGCAGATGTGGCTGCTCTGTTTCTGAGTCAAGTATCTCTGTTTAGAATATCATAGCTTCATACTGTGGGACACCATTCCCTCTGTACTGTCCACACTGTTCATCAATCAGGGAACTTAAGGTCTGCCAGCAGTATCCTGATTCATTTCAATTCAATTTATTCATTTATCTAACAAGTATTTATTAAGTGCCTACTATGTGCAAAGCACCGTACTAGGTGCTAAAGATAGAACAATGAACAAAACACACATACACAAATAACACACATGCACATGCACACACACTCACACACACACAGAGTTTCAGTAGAGGAGGGAAAAAAAAAAAAGATAAAAAGTAAAGCATATGAAATATTACCCCATGTGAAGGAGAAAAATAATTAAGTTGGCAAGAGAGATGCTGTGGTTTCAATGTCTCCCCAAATTCATGTGTTGAAACTTAATCCTCATTGTGGTAGTAGTGAGAAGCAGGGCCTTTTGGGAAGTGGTTGACTCATGAATGGATTATCACCTTAGAAAAGGGCTGGAGGGAACTAGCTGAGACCCTTTTGCTCTTCCTCTCTTCACCAGGCGAGGGCACAGCATTCATGTCCTGTTGCCCTTCCCCCCTCTGTCATGTGAGGATGTTGTTGCAAGAAGATGCCTTGCTGGAACAGACCCTCACAGAAGCTGCCAGTGCTTTGATCTTGGACTTGCTTACCTCCAGAAGTGTGAGGAAAAAAAAAATTCTATTATTTATGAATTACTCAGTCTGTGTTATTTTGCTCTTGCAGTACAAACCAGGCAGATCAACCTACCTGTGCCTAGGGGTCTGCAAAAAATGGAGCCTTCACAGCAGTGTTCGCAGAGCCAGCCCACGTTCATGGACTCATAGAAGTCTAAGTCCTGGCAAACTGTAACAAGAGACATGGCATTGGGAGAGTGAGAATCTAAATTTTAGATGAGATACAGCTAAGGATACCTCAGTTAAAATGTGACATTGTAGGCAAAGATTTCATGGCTAAGACTTCGGAAGCATAGACAACAAAAACAAAAATAGACAAATGGGACTCTACTAAGCTAAAAAGTTTCTGTACAGCAAATAAAACAATCAACAGAGTGAAAAGATAACCTGTTGAATGGGAGAAAATGTTTGCAAACTATTCATCCTACGAGGGACGAATATCCAGACTATACAAGGAACTGAAACAACTCAACAGTAAAAAAGCAAGTAATCCCATCAAAAATTGGGCAAAGGACATCAACAGACATTTCTCAAA